GTAACCCGGAAAATTGGCTAGTGATTTGACAGCGTTACCCGCCACAGCTGATTTTTACCTGCATTTGGCGGGTGTTAATTTCAAACCCTGGTTGCATCCCTACTTTTTACTCTAAAATACTGTATAACAGGAATATCACAAACTGAGTGCAGACTCCGAGTACTAACCTATGAAAAATATTTAACATGAAGTCTAGCATTTTGCACATTGTGCAATTACGATTTTGACATTAGCCATCAAGGAGCTTCAAGTAATGTAGGAATAGGCTATATGACCCCACCCGGTCACACTGATGGTACTCAAAATTTTTTTTCAAAGGTTGGCAGGTCTGGAATAGTTAAACGTGTACTAAGCGATTTCTGAAAAACAGATGATATTTGAAATCGATACCCAAACAATCACACACACCTACTCAAAAGAAACACACACCTCCCTTCATTGCTCCGCCCCCAAATCCCCAAATTCATGAACTTGCTATGCAACACGACTAACAGTTAGCGCACACCAGCTCCAGACAACCAATGACAATGCTCCTTTAAAGGTACAGTTCACCCAAAATGAAAACTTGCTGTTAATTTACCCTCAGGCCATCCAAGATGTAGGTGACTTTTTTTGTTCATCAGTAGAACAGCAAAGAAGATTTTTAGCTGAAGCTGTGGTCCTTGGTGATTCATAAAATGCAAGTCAGCAGCTACTGGCACTTTGAGAGTCACAAAAAAAAGCATACCAGGCAAGACAAAACCAATACCTGTGACTCCTGACGATATATTGAAGTCTTATGAAGCGAAACGATCGGTCTATGCAAGAAACTGAACATTATTGCCTGTAATCCATAGCCTCAGGTAAACGGTTCGGAGTTATGTCTGGTTCACAAACAAATCATTCTTTTGAACCGGTTCTTCAGATGTGCCTGACAGTCACTTAGACTCGAAATGAGCCAATATATCGGCATATATGATCCTATGATGCTGGTTTTTGCCGACGTATTCAGTGCTCCAGTTTCTCCAACACTCACTGAACTGAGGAAACAGTTCTGACTCGGACTGAAGACCGATGAGCCACTGATGTGCTCATGCGTGAACCAAACACTTGAATCAATGGGTCAAACTAATGTTTTTATAGTGTCTCTTTGTGTATATAAAAAGGTGAGCTGATGAAGACTAGTTTATTCACTTTATATGCTTTAGACATTTAAAACATCAGTGTTTCACATTGTTATTGGGTGCTTTAATAATATAATTGCGTATACGTTACGTCATTGCGTGATTTCTTAAAGGGGTCATATGATGCGATTTCAATTTTTCCTTTCTCTTTGGAGTGTTACAAGCTCTTGGTGCATAAAGAAGATCTGTAAAGTTGTAAAGACTAAAGTCTCAAATCCAAAGAGATATTCTTTATAAAAGTTCAGAGTCAGCCACACCTACCTAAAACGGCTCGTTCTAACACGCCCCCACATATCTACCTCACTATGTGGGAAGATTTGCATAACGCCACTCAAATGTTCACGCAAAGAAAGAAGGCGTAAGTTTTGTTGACCCTGCAGCCATGTCGTGAAGACGCTGTGTGCTTCGTTGTGAAAGCGAAACTACTTTGTTTGGTCTTCCAAAAGAGGACGATATCCGCTTCGTCATGCCTAGAGCTGATCTGTGCTGGTCGCTGAGGGAATACATCAACTTTCACCGTGAACGAAGCGGAATCCATCACATGTGGTTGCCGCTCATTCGTCGTATCCGCCGGGCGCGCCGCCGTTCTCGACCCCGCCGCCTCAGCTCACTCTATCCCGACCTCAGCTCACTCTATCCCGGCCTCAGCGCACGCTAAGCCCGGGCTTAATGTTTTTGTCTCGTCGCTCCAGCCGGGACACAGCATCAACAGTATGTGAGGGGCGTAACATTTCCGTCTCACGCTTGAGGTATTCGGCCAATCACAACGCATTGGATAGCTGGCCAATCACAGCACACCTCGCTTTTTCAGACCGATGAGCTTTGTAAAAATCGACGCGTTTCAAAAAGGCGGGGCATAGAGGAGAAACAATAATGTACAGTATGTGGAAAATAATGTGTTTTTTTTACTTTAAACCGCATAAACACATTTCATTACACGAAATACACAAAATAATGTTCTTTTTAGCAGCATCATATGACCCCTTTAAATGAACTGGTGAATCAGTTATTTGAACCAGTTCACGGAAAAGATTCAGATTTCCCCGTTTACCTGAGGCTATGGATTACAGGCAATAATGTTCAGTTTCTTGCACAGACCAATTGTTTCACTTCATAAGATCTCAATATATCGTCAGGAGTCATGGGTATTTATTTTGTCTTGCCTGATATGCTTTTTTTGACTCTCAAAGTGACGGTAGCCGCTTTGCATTTTATGAATTACCAAGCATCATGATTTCAGCTAAAAATCTTCTTTTCTGTTCTACTTATGAAAAAAGAGTCACCTACACATTGGATGGCCTGAGAGTAAATTAACAGCAAATTGTCATTTTTTGGGTGAAATATCCCTTTAACTAGTAGGCCTAACTATATTTTAGGTTAAATTAACTGCTATTGAAGGTCATATTAATTTGTGTGTGTCTTTGTGCAGGTGGTGAGCCGCTATCTGTGTGAGGAGACTAATGAGAACCTGACGGAGAAGGAGTTTATTCCTGCTGTGAGGAATTTTGCACTGAAACTCATATTAGCAGGTAACACAGGATGGCAGTGGAGGTTTAAATTGTTTACACACCAGGTCCTGTTTACACCTGGTATTGACATCCATCTCAACTGATCCGATTATGCATGTCCTGCGCTGCGTCCGCTTGTGATCAGATCCGGTAGAGGTGTTGCAATTGTCTGAGACCACAAAAAGCTGATTTTGCGTCGGTTTGAAATTTCAGTCTTCTGTTTCCTCTGTGTGTTTGTCATCATGGCATCAGGCCGTCTGAAGTGTTATGAAGCTTTATCCTCCGACCTGCAGAAGAACGCTCTAGCAGCTTTTCTGAGACTCAAAGGCGTGAGGAAGGTCAAAGTGTAAGTCCATCTACATTTAGTCTGTGTTTCATGGGCTTTTGAAATGTTATGGTTGTTTAACTGACGTGAACTCTCTCTCACAGAGGAGATCAGGTGACGCTGAAGGTAAACAAGATTGCAGTGAACTCATTGGAGGATACGCTGGGTAAGAGTGATGTCATATCTTATCAAAATAGCTGGTGTTCAAGTATGGCAATGTTTGAAATAGCAATCTAACATACTAGTCTAATTATATCTGCAGTATATAATGTTTATTGTACACCCAAAGTTAATTTGACTGTAAGCATGGGATACCTGGATCATGTACAGTACTTTGGTAATAAGAAGTATACAGCAGACTACACTGTCTGCAATAATGTATCCCAAAATGCATTGTGGCTGGCAACCAGTGTGATGAATGAATGGGAAGGAAAATTATTTTTCTCTTTCTTCTTAACTTTTTTTATTCGTCTGTTAAGTATTACATCATTTTTACACCAAATTAAATTAAAAATGAAAAACAGTTATTTAGCTTTTAGCATTATTTAGTTTCTGTGCTTAAAAATCCACGTGAAGAGGTCATTTTACTACAAATATAGCATTCTAATGTTTGATTTTTTATTTTTTTTTCCTGGAATGCCTTCTGTGTCACCAATTTTGTTATTGTCAAGTGTATGTATATATATATATATATATATTACTAAGTTATCTTATCACATACAATTTTTTATAATTGTAGGCAATATTCAGTGTAAACTGTTCAAAATCCCGGTAAATCAACCGGGATAAATAAATGAAATAAATACATTTTTCTTGTAATATACTGTTAGATTTACACAGATTTAATTGCTGAATTGTTTTGCAAAATCACACAGAGCATTATAGAGCATTAGATTGTATAAATAAAACTTATATTTTTGTAACTAAAATGACATGCAAAAGACTCCCAATTTATATTTATGAATGTGAATAGTTTTACAAATTACACAAAATTGCTCATGTGCTTAATGTGCTCATGTTTTAATAACTACAATAGCCTTATGTTTAGATTACCGCTGATATGTGTTCAGAAATAAAAGAGGATTTAAAATAGTCAGCAAGAAACATACAATTTTTATTTTTTTTTTACATTTTGATGAAAATAAGTACATATCAGGTAAACTTTGAAGGACTTGTTTTATAAGATGGTCCCAAAAACATATTATTATTATTTTACAAGTACTATTAAAGAATATTTTAAAAGTGGTTATGTATATACAAAATAGTTTGGTCTTTTTTTTTTATTTTAGTTAGAATTTGAATTTTAGTTAGTTAGAATTTGAAAGTTGAATTATACTACATGTTTGCAATTACTGTATTGTTTTTATTGAGTGAATGCAACAACAACAACATCTAAATATGTAATAGGTAAAACGTAAACCAGTGCACACACATATTGAAAAATGTAATTATTAAAACATATTTTAAAAATAAACAATATAGTGAACTATATACTTTTTTTGGCCCAGATTTTATTGCTTGCTTTTAAAATGCAGTAATTTGCTCTTAAAAAAGTAACGTTTTAAAAGTTTCCTCTGACAGAATTCGTTTGTTTGCCTCATTTTCCACTGTGACCCAGTTCTTGTCTCGCTGTGCTGTAGTGCCATGGCCTCCTGCATCTTCGTTCTATTTTACAGCTACGCTTGTTTACTTTTCTTTTCCTCTGTCACACAGGAGGTAAAATTCCTACCCAGAAGCCCATCCTCGCTCGACTGTAGTCGTATACGCACACGTGGAGTCTCTGGAGGGCCAAACCAAACTAAACTGCCTTCATTAACATAATGCCAAATTTTGCAAGGTGGCATGGCTTCGCTGACTACAAAGGTTACCTGTCATCGAGCTTTAAAGGGACGTCACGGGTTTGCCATCTGGGACGCCCACATTACGCTAGAAACACTCTTTTTATCTCTCTCCCTCTCCGACAAGCTTGACAGCAGGTTGCCGTGTCTGTGATCAGCCTTCGATCTTCACCGTGTCTTTATCAGACGAGTTTTAAACTGCTCTGAAGTTGCCAAGTAGATGAAGACAGTGACACTTTAGATTTTTTTTTTTTTCGCATTTGAACGTCCTGTTACCACCGTTTGTGTGTGTTTTATCTACATCTGCACTAAAGAGCCTTCGCTTTGATTTGAAACACTGTTACTGTTTGTTCTCACTGGATTTGTGTTGGGTCTGTTATCTTTTCTTCATGACTTGTCTGAATTGAACGGTTTTCTTTTGCTCTCTAGATCTGGCCGTCTGTTGCATTTGCTACGGATCAAGGTTTTTAGGGATCATGTTACAAAAATAGGTCACACGAAAGTGTGTTAACTCCTTCAGAGCTAAAGAAAAATTGTCTTTTTGTATCTGCTCTTATAAAAGAAACTTGTAGTTAAAGGAACAGTTCACTCAAAAAAATAAAAATAAAATGCTGAAAATTTATTCAGGTCATCAAAGATGTAGATGAGTTTGTTTCTTCATCAGAACAGATTTGGAGAAATGTATAGCATTACATAATTTGCTCACCAGTGGATCCTCTGCAGTGAATGGGTGCCGTCAGAATGAGAGTCCAAACAGCTGATAAAAACATCACAATAATCCACATGACTCCAGCCCATAAATTAACATCTTATAAATAAAAAATCTGCATCTCTGTAATAAACAAATATATCATTAAGATGTTTTTAACTTCAAACCATTGCTTCCAGCTAAAATACGAGTCCTTTATATTGTTTTCTCTAGTGGACTTGGACTTGTATTTTGGCCAGAAGTGAAGGTTTAAAGTTAAAATGCCTTAATGATGGATTTGTTTCTTATAAACAAGCAGCTTTTTACTTCACAAGATGTTAATGGATGGACTGAAATCGTGTGGATTACTTGTGGATTATTGTGATGTTTTTATCAGCTCTTTGGACTCTCATTCTGACGGCACCCATTCACTGCAGATGATCCATTGGTGAGCTGAGCAAGTGATGTAAAGCTGAATTTCTCCAAAGCTGTTGAAAAAACAAACTCATCTACATCATGGATGGCCTGAAGGTGAGTAAAAGTTCAGCTAATTTTCATTTTTGGGTGAACTTCTCCTTGATTAACAGAAAGGCTGTTCTCATGAGCCAAATATGGAGACTCTTTATTGCCATAACAGTGTTTACAGGCCTCTCGTAAACTGCAGCATTTCTGCTACAAACTAATGCATAATGAAGCGACAGGTTTTATTTTATGCATTACTGCATTGTTTGGATATTTCACATTATATTTAAATAATTAATACGATGAAATATTTTTATTATTAAAAAGGATCAGCCGATACAGAGGCATGTCGCAAATGCGGAATCTCTGTTCGCGCTGTTTAATGTCCCTGTTATGTTTTATTTCAAAGCATTATATCCATTTTTCAGACAAAGTTAAGCTTTTAAAATGATGTGAAGTTGGTGCCGTATCAGTTTCGGTTTCTGTGTTTTTGATTTTTCACACTGCAAACTAAAACTGAACTACAAAGTTTAGATACAGTTATGTGCTGCACTTTTTCTAGGAAAAAAAAAAATCTAAAATTGTGGCCATTGTGTGGATTAGAATGGGAATTCAGGTATATTTTTATCCCATATTTTGGACTGATCATCAGACATTATTTGTCTGTAATCACTGAATGGATGATGCAACTATAAAACACAAGCCAAAAAAAAGTATGAATTCATGAATTCATCTTGTGGATTGAAATGGTTTTGAAAGAATTTGGAAATCACTCCTTTCGACTTTTGGACATTTTGTTGTTTTTGTGTTTCCGTCTGATAAATTTGGAGAAATGCCACTAAAACTAAAGATTAAGTTTATTAAAGCTACGTGCAACTCAAATGCTGGCCATATTATGTGTTTTTGTAATATGTACTGTATATGATCAATATTTCTGGTTTTCTCCAGCCATTTGATTACATTTTCTTTTCTTTATTTTTTTTTTATTAGATTTTTTTTTTTTTACCCAGCATTTAGTTATCACTGTGATAGCAAAGCTGAATTTTCAGCATCATGACTCCAGTCTTCAGTGTCACATGATCCTTCAGAAATCATACTAATATGCTGATTTGATACTCATGAAACATTTCTTATGTTGAAAAGATTTGTGCTGCTTTTCATTTTTGTGGAGACCACGATACTTTTGTTTTTCAGGAATCTTTGATGAACACAGTTCAAAAGAACAACATTTATTTGAAATAGAAATGTTTTTACTGTCACTTTTGTTCAATTTAATTGGTCCTTATGTAATAAAAGTAATAATTTAATTTCTAAAAATAAATAAATACTGTCATTAAACTTTTGAATAGCAGTCCATGTTGGAAACGGGTCTCTCAAGATAAAGGTCTGGACATAGCTACTCATTCTTTACTATTAGTATTTCACACACATTATAATAGTATATATAATATTATAAGTATATAGTAATATAAGAATAATAGCAAAGTTAATAAAGTCACTGACATTATGCAATAACACAAATGGAAATATATAACAATAAATAAAAACTCATTTTAACTTCCATTTCACTCAGGGCTCTTCTTTACTAAACTAATTAACGGTTTTGTTTTAAAATAAAATAACACATTTTATTGCAATCTTCCAAATCAAGTCTGAACAATCTGCTGGGAGTCCAATAAAAACAGTGCAGAATCTTAGATTTCGGCAACTTTTGTTTCATCCTCATCCTTGCCGTTGCTGTTTTATCAGTCTTGTCCTCTAGATGGCAGACTTGGATGTGGATTTACCAGCTCACATTAATCAGCCTGTATATTTTGGCCAGTTCGAGCCTTGCACCAAATTTGTGCAGCCAAGCAAAACCTTTTACTCATATTTCCTTTCCATTTCATTCATCTTGTCAACAGGATATCAATCACTATGGCAGCAATCTCTTCCACTGAGCACATAGGACATGTCTACTGCTGGTTCTTGACATTTCCAGTGTCCATGCTGTAGCTACAATTCGGCATATCGTAATTGTATCTGTTTAAATAACAGTGATCCTGAATATCCAGGTATGCACATCAGTCTGTTTCTCATGAGAGCACTTGGAGATTTGGTTTGGTGCTCACACTGCACACATTAAATATAACTTTAAACAATCAAATAATTTAAAATAGTAATAATAGTATTATTGCACTTTAGTTTTGTATTTTTCTATAAACAAAATAAAGTGTGATAGTAGTATATTTTAAAATAATAAATAAAACATTAAATAAAAAAATACAATTATTTATAGTACATGTAAAAATGCAATGTTAATATTTACATTTTCTTTTATTTCTCCTTCTTTTATATTTTTATATGAATTTTTATAAATTTTTTTAAACCTAAAATCAAACCTTTTAAACCGAAGCGCATGAGTAGTGAACGAAATTTCATTTTTGCTCTGAAACCGACAGCACATATCCTAGATTTATGCTTTCAGTTCGAATGGAAATCTTAGTCGATCTTAAACGGTGATTGATTGTGTATTAACAGCTGTCAATCATGTCCATATGCAAATGAGCATTTTTTTATATTGGTCGCGCATGTGCACCTGCACAGTGTGCGCACTATTTATGTGCATCGCTGTGTATCTCTTTTCTTATTCATACATCCATAGTTTTATTTGATTGATTAGCCTCATTTAGCAAAACACATTCATCAAATTAAAATAAGCAGTGAAGTCCTGCTGTTTATTCTGCCATGTGGAACTGGGAATATAGGATTGGCCAGAGTTTCCACCTCTACCAGAAAATCTCTGATGAAACCGAAACTTTGAGGTCTGTTCAGTGTCCTTCTGTCTCAAGGTCACATCTAATTATCACAGCCCAGACTTTTTGTCCACTGGAGTTTTTTTTTTTTTTTTTCAATGTCACTGGACATGTTATCAATGTTTCATTGTCTGATGACTAAAAGTAAGTAACACATGTCACATTTTTAAAAAAGCGGTGCACACAGTGGGGGTTGCACACACATGCTGGGTGTAATGTTGGGAAATGGCACTGGCTAAGCTCATGAAAATTAAAAAGGTTATGAACAAATAAGTGAAAATGATGTTTTACTACGTTGATACACAGTAAATATGTGATGTATTTATGCGCAAATGAAATCAGGTCTGTATAGAGTATTTGCCCGTGTGCATACCAGTGTTTGGATAAATGAATAAAAATGTCGTCTGAAAGAAGTCTTAATTTCTACTGAGAAATATGCATTGTAGTCATTATATATTCGCTTGGTTATTTTTAAAGCTAGCTTATATCATCTTAGTCACTTTATGGTGTAGTTATTCTTAATCATGAAAATATGTAAACTTTTTTTTTTAAAATTACATTTCACATTTTATTGTTTAAGCTAAAAATGGTCAAATTAAACATTTCCGTTTTTTTTTTTTTTTTGCATTCCAGTTTGCATATTCTATGTCATTTTCTAGTATAAGCAGTGTGAGTGTGTTCACACTGAAAATTCCAGCAGGAAGTGCACTTCAAATATGGGAATCATGCACTTATTTAAGAAAGAAAAAAAAGAAAGAAAGAAAAAAGAAGGAATGTTGTGGAATGTTGGACACTTTTAAAGCATTAAAAGTTTTGCATTTAAAGTTGCCATATGTACATTTTTCACTGTACTAAACAATAAAAATACCATAATATGTTCGCAGATATTTAGGAATCATGCTAAGTTCACGTGCTTGTTTCTCCGAAATTGCCCACTGCCAATTTACCCAATAGTGTTTCAACATCCTGGGTTGCCAGCTCACGGAAAACACAGCAAACTCACCAAACTCACCAGCAAACTCAGCAACTGAAGCAAACGAACTGGGGCCAGTTGCATAAACATAGCCACTATGTTAAGATCATGTCTTAAGGACTAGTTTGACCAACTAGCAGTTAGCCAAGGGGTAACCACTTTTAAAATTCTTACTTTTAAAATTAAGATTAGACCAGTCTATTTTTTTTGTAACTGATTTAAAAATGTTATGACCAGTCTATAAAATAAATAAAAAAATAACATGACAAAATTTTTAAGACTAGTCTAAGCAGTTTATGCAACCGGCCCCTGGGTCAGAAATTGCAGATTCTTCCCAACCTAAAACATAACAGGGCGACGTTTTTGCGATTATATGATATTCACAAAACAGGTACCGACCCAGGTACCTTAGCAACCACATAACTACACCCTAGCAACCGCCTTAGCAACACCTTAGCAACCACCCCGAGTACCATAGCAACGCCTTAGCAACCATCCAGAGTACCCTAGCAACCACAAGCTATCAAACTTTAAGCTTTTAAAACTACTTTAAACTTCAAACTATTTCAGACTGACCATCAAACTTAAAACGTTTAAAACTTGTAAATCTTTTTAAAACTTTTCAAACTTTTCAAACTTTTTAAACTTCTTAAACTTTTTTTTTTTTTAACTTTTCAAATTTTTTTTAAACTTTTCAAAC